TGCCCAGTCCCCCCTCTTTCCACTTTCCACCCCTCCCCACAGCAGGTCTCACCTTTAGAAGCTGAGAGAGACACATCAGAGCCCTGGTCACTGTCTGGAGGGGACAAACCAGGGAAGGGGTCAGAGCCCCAGGGTAGGAGACTAAGAGGAACTATGGGGGTGGGGTCCCCTATGGCTCCCTCTGCACTGTCACAGGCACTCAGGGGTCACCCTCCATACTCACTGGCAGCCTGAGCATAGCTCCCTCCTTTTCCACCTGCAGGAAGAAAACACCTCATGAGAGACCAGGGAGGAGGCAGAGCCATGAGGTCCTAGAGGAAGCCCTAGTCCTGGGCCCAGAGAAGTTTCCAGAAGCGTGTGTACAGACCCAGGGCAGGATCAGGGAAGGGCATGTGTGGGGACTGGACCCACAACCTGCCTAGAGGTCTGTGCTCAGCGGGGACCTGTCCTCTGACCTGGGGCTGCTGGGAACCGAGTACCCACCACCAGCATCATCAGGTGAGAATTGGGCCTCTCATTTCCCACGGGCCTCACTACAGAGTCAGTGTGAGCACAGAGCCCCACACTGGCCTTCACACTCGTGGGGATGTGCTTCCCGTGAATGAGGGGGACACACGTCTACCTGGGCTTGAACCCCCAGTGAGACAGACACTCAGACCCCACCCCTGCCCACCTGAGCGCCTCCTCCCCCACATCACAGCTCCAGCCACAGCTCCCAGCAGGACCAGGCCCCCAGCGATGCCCAGGATGATGAAGATGAAGGTGTGAGAGGGCGGATCTTGGAAGAGAAGGGAAGGGAGGGTGAGGGCCCTGACCCCAGGCCTCAGCCCCAACCCCACTGAGGTCCCCCAGGGCCCCGCTGCCCTGAGAAGAGGCTCTGTGCCCACGGCCCTCCTCACCCCATTTCAGGGTCAGGGGCTCGGGCAGCCCCTCGTGCTGCACATGGCACGTGTATCTCTGCTCCTCTCCAGGGGGCACCCCCACGGCCGCCCACTTCTGGAAGGTGCCGTCCCCCGTAGGCCTGGTCTCCACCATCTCCATGTCCTGAGTCTGGTCCTCCCCGTCACGCTGCCAGGTCAGGCTGATGTCCGCAGGGTAGAAGCCCAGCGCCCAGCACCTCAGGGTGACCTCACTGGCAGAGACGGGGTGGTGGCTCACGTGTGCCTTTGGAGGGTCTGAGGGGAGGGGAGAAAATGCAGGAGCTTTGCATCCTCCATGGGACACTCCAGCAGCGCCCATGTGACCAGCTTGAGAGTGGGCAGACACCTGGGTGGGGAGGGACCACACAGCTACACACCAGCCTGGACAGAGACACTGGAAGGACCTCCTAGTCTTTAGAAAGTTCTAGAATCAGAAAGACACAGCTCAGGGTAGGAGGTCTCTGACAGGAGAAATGGTCCTGACCTGGGTGAAGGCCACGTGACTCAGAAAAGCTGGGGTCAGGCCTCAGATACAGGGGGTGTGGGGCAGAGCACAAGGCCTGAGAGAAGGTCCCGGTGGGTCCCAGATTCCCTGCAGGGCCCCTGGAAACCCCTTATGGGCTATTGTAAGGGGGGTCTCCCTGCACCCCAGGAGAGCCTGCACCCCTACCTGTCCCTGAGAGGAGGGAGAGTCCCTCTGGAACCTGACCTGGACATCCTGGGGGACCCTCTCCCTGACCCCGAGGAGGGGTGTCTGACACTGACCCCCTGTCCTGTCTCCTTGTAGGAGCCGTAGCCCCGAGGAGAGGGGGCGGCCCCGGGGCCCCTGGTACCTGCGCGCTGCAGGGTCTCCTTCCCCTTGTCCAGGTACATGCGCAGAGAGTCCACACACAGGCCCTCCAGGTAGCTCCGCTGATACTCTGCCTCACCGCCCTGTTCAAACTTCCGCTTTGAGATCTGAGCCGCCATGTCGGCCGCGGTCCAGGAGGTCAGGTCCTCGTTCAGGGCGAGGTAGTCGGTGCCATCGTAGGCGTATTGATAGTACCCGCGGAGGAGGCGCCAGTCCGGTCCCACCTCGCAGCCATACATCATCTGGATGGTGTGAGACCCTGACCCCGCCCCGAGGTCAGCCCGCCCCGCCCGCCCCGCGGGGACCGAATCTAAAACTGAAAGTGAAATCGGGTCACAGTCCCCGCGGGCTCCTCCCGGGGGTGGGGGTTGGGGTGGGGGTGGGGGCCGGGCGGGTCCCGCCGCCTCGGGGTGACGCTCGGACCCGGACCCTCGGGGCGACCCCGGCCCGTCCGTGGGGAGGGGGGTCGTGAGGGGCCCGGCGCGCGGCTCACCGTCCTCGCTCTGGTTGTAGTAGCCGCGCAGGGTCTGCAGGCCCACTCGGAAAGTCTGTGCTGCTGCCCTGAACATCTGGGTCTGCTGGTCCCAATAACCCGGGAACCAATGCTCCACCCACGGCTGCTGCATCCACGGCGCCCGCGGCTCCATCCTCCCACTCGGCGCGTCGCTGTCGAACCGCACGAACTGCGTGTCGTCCACGTAGCCGACGACGAGGTACCGGGGCTCCCCGCGGCCGGGCCGGGACACGGCGGTGTAGAAATATCTCAGGGAGTGGGGGCCTGGGGGGCGGACGGAGGGCAGGGCCGGGCTGGACACGCGCCTTCCCGGGCCCGCGCCCCGCCGGGTCCCCGCGCTCCTCCCCGCACAGCCGCCCCCTCGGACCCCGCACTCACCGGCCCCGCTGGGGGTCAGGACCAGCGCCCCCGAGAGCAGCAGGAGGAGGGTGGGGGGCCTCTGCACCCGCATCCTGGCAGTTTGGGCGCGTCTGCGTCCGGGCGCTTCCGCGGAGGACTTATAACCAGGAGCCGCGGGGACGCTGATTGGCTGCAGTAAAAGCCGCTGAGCCAATGGGAGTGAGAGTTGTTGCGTCACGAGTATCCAGGAAAAAGGCGCCGAAACAGGTTGGGAGAGGAGAAGTGAAACCAGGGCGCTGGGGAGTCCCCACCAGGGAGCCCTCCCAGACTCTGTGCCCCGCTGAGACCTGAGCGCAGGCCTGGGCCCTGGACTCGGTCCTGACCCTCCTCCTGCGCGGAGCGCCCGTCCCCCTGTCCCCCGAGGCCTGGCCCGGGCGCTGTGCTGTTCAGGGACTTTCCAAGGTTTGGGGTTCACCATCTCTGTGCAGCCTCACACAGGGGGGAGGCCCCCAATAACCTTGTTCCTGTGGTTCCCTCTGTCACAGTCACCACTCACGGAACCACACGGGGAAACAAGTATGAACTCACACCGCAAGCTCACTGCCTGGGAGATGGTGAGAGAGTCATGTTTTTGTGAAAATCACCATTTTCCCAGGTGAAGGAGGAGGAGAGAGGAGGGGCCTGCTCCCCTGTCACATCCTGCCTGTCCGTCCCCCTGGGAGACGCTGGGTTTGCACATTTGCTTCTGCGTTTGATCTGTTGTTGTGGCGGCAGCTTATTAAGACATAGACGGCCTCACAGACATGGGCAGGAGCAGTGTTTTACTGGCCTTTACATGCTCCCCTGTGACAGTCACCACAGCCACACCTGTGGTCGTTTCTGAAAAGGGCTTTGCAAAGTGAGACCTGAAACCATATTGACTGTATTCTTCTTGTTTTAATTTTTAAATATATATATTTTATTTCAGAGAGGGAGAGAGAGATAGATACATCAATGATGAGAAGGAGTCATTGATCAGCTGCCTCTTACAAACCCCACACTGATGATGGAGCCTCCATCCCAGGCATATGCTCAGTCAAAAAGGTGACCTGTGACCTCCTGGTTCATAGGTCAATGTTCAGGCACGGAGCCCCACTGGCTGGGGAATAGTGAATGTTTCCTGTTCTGTTCTGTCACCGTCCCCAGGGCTGTCTGGCTGGGGGCTCTGTCCTCATGCAGGTTAGTGAAGGTGATGCCTGTGTCTCTAAGTCCTAGAGCCCTTCTCATGCAGATGCATTAGTCTCCCTCCCTCCACGCTCACCTCTGTGTCTCCCCACAGAGCCCCTAGGAAGTGTGTCAGCGCTGGGGAGGGTCTAGCTGACCTGGTGGGACACACCTGTCCCAACATTCTGGTTTTCTCTCGGGGCTGGCATTGCATCAGGACAGCAGGCCTGTGGGTGGTCCCTGCCAGGTGACATTTCCTGAGGGAGAAGCTCATGTTCAGGTTTGAGAAGGTGCGTGCCAGTTCCCCCAGCATCAGCCCTCCCCGTGTCTGTGTCACTCATTCTGTTAGGGAACCGTGGGCCAGGCCGGGTGTGGCTCAGCGGCTGAGCATTGACCTTCAACCAGGAGGTCAGGGTTCCATTTCTGGTGAGGCACCTGCTGGGTTGCGGACTCTGTCCTCAGAGGAGTGGGGAGGGGGTGGGTGGCACAGGAGGCCGCCTAGCCATGGCTCTCTCCCATCACGAGTGTTTCTATGTCTCCCTCTCCCTTCCTCCTGAAATCAATAGGAATAATAATAATAAAGAGTTGGCTGGACGAGGCTCTGGGAAGGAGGGGGAAGGAGAGGGGGAGCCGCGGGACCAGCTGTGAAGGCCCCCCAGACCCTGCGAGGTCAGGCAGCCTACGCTGTCGCTGTGCCTGGCCCCCTCGGCCCCAGCGATGACCTGATGGGAACACGCGGGGCCCACGGGGCGTGTCCTTGTGAAGGAGATGCGTGGGCAGCCGTGCGTGGGAAGCGGGTGGGGGCCCTCACCTCTGGGCTACTCCGCAGGTGGCATCTGGGATGCGGCCCCCCTGACTGAGGTGGGTCCCCCATAAAAGAAGGCTCCAGTGTGTCGGGGGCTTCCCTTGCTCTCAGGAGTTTACAGGATGTGATGTGGGGCCTCCATCCCAGGGCTCAGCCCAAGGCCTCCTTCTCCCTTCCCCCTCCACCCACAGAGCTGGACCAGGGGGATCCAGGAATGAGCGCCCTCCCCAGGGCGAGCCCACACCTCCCAGCGCTGCTCTCCCTCCCAGGGCGGGGCTCTCCCAGCGCCAGCTCCGCCCCCTCTCCGCTGCCTGAAGGTGGGAGGCCCAGCGCTGCGGCAGGTTGGGACGCGGTGCTCAGGGAGGGAGTGACCGCGTCAAAGCCCACTATGCACTGCGCACTGACCAGGCCCAGGCCGGACCATGCTTCATCCTCACCGCCCCTCCCGTCCCGCCTGCGACAGGCTCAGCACAGCAAACACAGGGACCTGGAAAGTTCTTGGAGCTTCAATTTATTTCCCCTCAGAATTTAGGAGCTTCTCCTTTAATTAACCCCCAAGCCTTCTTGGCAAGAAATGAACAAACAGTCACATCAGAATCTCATTTCATCCGGAGCAGTAAGATGCAGCTTAGAGCCCCATGGAGAAAAGGCAGGGATGGGGATAGGGAGGGCCCAGCAACCTCTGTGTGGAGGGCAGGGCGGGGCCAGCACCCATCAGAGGGTTCTGAGTCAGGAAGTGGGAGCAGTGGCTGTGACTGGTGACATTCTCATAGTCCACTTCATGCTCACAGTGTCCCAGAGACTCCCCACTGCCCAGTCTCCCCCCTCTGCCCACCCCTCCCCACGGCAGGTCTCACCTTTAGAACCCAAGAGAGACACATCAGAGCCCTGGGCGCTGTCACTGACTGGGAGGGACACACCAGGACGGGGTCAGAGTCCAGAGCAGGAGACTGAGGAGGAAGTATGGGGGTGGGGTCCCCCATGGCTCGCTCTGCACTGTCACAGGGTTTCAGGGGTGACGCCTTCATACTCACTGGCAGCCTGAGCATAGCTCCCTCCTTTTCCACCTGCGGGAAGAAAACACCCCGTGAGAGACCAGGGAGGAGGCAGGGCCATGAGGTCCTAGAGGAAGCCCTAGTCCTGGGCCCAGAGAAGTTTCTAGTGCTGGCCCCACTGGGACCCGGATGTGGAGAGAGAGGCTGTTTTAGATTTAGGGGAGCAGCACTGTGGAAGTGCAGGTGCAGTGAGGGCGCAGGCGGCACCCTGACCCCAGTTGCCCCAGGACAGCTGTGCTGGGGCCACAGCCATGAGGACACTGTGTCTGGAACAGGGACGGGTTCTGTGATGGTGACCTTCTCAGCCTGGACTTGGGGACAGTGTGACAGCTGCTGTTCCCTCTGGAGCGCACAGGGACCATGGAGGGACATCAGGCCGGGTCCTGACCACACAGCAATTATAACAGGAACACACACCAAGCTCAGCTGCTTTGGTTTCTTCCTGTACATGAACGCCATGCTCACACTGTACTGTCCTCTGCTGAGTGTCCAATAGCTTCCTGTCTAAACAACACTGTGTCCACCTGCGTTACCACGCGCTTCATTGTGGACATGCGCACTGTCACCCGTGTCACAGCCCACTTGCTGGTGGAGAGTCTCACCTTCCACTGAAGCCCACAAGGTCTGTGAGGCCCGGGAGGTGAGGCGGCTCCACCTCAGGGCGCTGAGTCCAGGCCCCACTGCCGCCTCCCAGAGCGCATGCTCTATTGCACAGAGACCAGCTGCACCTTCCCTGGAGCCAGTGAGGCATCCAGGCTGGAGTGTGGGGAGTGCTGTGGAGAGGGGTCCGCTGTGGGGGAGGGAAGATGGCTGTTTTGTTTCATATCCCCATCCGAGGATATTGTTCCATTGACATTTAAGGAGTGAGAAGGGGAGGGGAGAGACAGAGGGAGAGACACATCTAGGTAAGAGAGAGGCATCTATGTGTCGCCTCCAGCATGGGGATGCATAGAGCTAGCACAGAGGTACATGCCCTTGACCGGAATACCACTGTGACCTTCAATCCCAGAGCTGCTCTCTGCATTGAACAAAGTGGCTGGGAGAGGAGGGCATTGCAATGTGGATGGTCAGCAGGGGCCTCATTGGGAAGGGGACTTCTTACAAAGTATTTTAGCCCTAGCCTGTTTGGTTCAGTGGCTAGCCAGTTTGGTTCAGTTGGCCTGCAGACTGAAGAATCCCAGGTTCGATTCTGGTGAAGGGTATGTATCTTTGTTGGGGTCACATCCCCAATAGGAGGTGTGCTTGAGGCAGCTGGGTGATGTTTCTCTCTCATCAATGTTTCTGGCTTTCTATCCCTCTCCTTTCCTCTCTGTAAAAAAATCAATAAAATAGATTAATCGAAGATGGCTGCACAGGTAAACACCTAACTGCAGCCGCACACAACAATTTCAATAAAATACAACTAAAATATAAAATGGAAATTACCCAGAACTACAGGAAAGTTGACTGACTTGAAATTCTACAATGAGAAATAAGGAGAAAACCAGAAGGAAGAGCGGAGGAACTGTAAAAGCCTAAGGTACGGAGACACGCGGCGCGCGCAGAGAGGACGGAGCCAGAGAGGAGGGGGAGGCTGAGTGCCTGGCTGGCATTCCCTAGCGGGAAGGAGATAAAAGCTCCAGACTGTGCTGAGCCCCAGTTCTGACTGCTCTGAACCCCAGTTCTAGGCCAGACCCCGGTGACCCAGGCTCATCCAGAGGGAGCTGGGCTGTAAGGCGGAATCCCAGGGGAGCGGCGAAAGGCAGAGCCCCAGAGGTGCGCACATTGCACGCAGAGAAGGGACGGTTGGCTGTGCCACGGGATTGCCCTGGCGGGAAGGAGACAGGGGCTCCACACTGCTCTGAAAGCCACCTCCAATCCCACTTCCAACTAAACTGAACCCCAGTTCCAGGCCCATTGGGGGAGAGACTAGACTGTTTGGTAGCAGGCGAAACTCAAGGGCACCTCACTCTCAGAGGTGCTTGCAGTGAGTACTGAAGGACCCTGAGGAATACTGAGGCTCAGGAGCTGCATAGGGTGTAGCTGAGGGAAGCCAAGGCTGAAGGCTCCACCCTAAAACTCCGCCCCATCAGGGAATCTGCGAAAATGCCTAGACAACGAAATAGATAACAAACGAAAGAAATGGAGGACAAAGAGCGACTGGATATAGAGTTCAAAACCACACTTATAAGGTTGTTCAAGAATCTCCTAGAAAAGGCCGATAAAATAAACAAAAACTATAAAGATATGAAAAGGGATCAACTAGAAATAATAAGGGATCAACAAGAAATAAAGAATACATTGTCTGAAATAAAAAAATATTATAGAGTCCTAAAAACAGAATGGAAGATCACAAGAATCAAGTCAAAGATTTGGAACATAAAGAGCCAGAAGACGCTCCTCCGCAGAAGCAAAAAGGCAAGAGAATCCAGAAAGTTGAAGATAATGTAAGAAACCTCTGGGACAACTTCAAGCAAACCAACATTAGAATTATGGGGGTCCCAGAAGATAAGAGAGAGCAAGATATCAAAAACATACTGAAAGAAATAGTGACAGAAAACTTCCCCCACCTGGTGAAAGAATTAGACTTACAAGTCCAGGAATAGCACAGAACCCCAAACAAAAGAAATCCAAAGAAGACCATACCAAGACACATCATAATTAAAATTCCAAGAGCAAAAGACACAGAGAGAATATTAAAAGCAGCAAGAGCAAAGCAGGTAGTTACCTATAAAGGAGCACCTATACAATTGTCAGCTGATTTCTCAACAGAAACCATGCAGCCAGATGGGAATGGCAAGAAATATTCAAGGTGATGAATAGTAAGAACCTACAGCCAAAAATAATCTACCCAGCAAAGCTATAACTTAGAATCAAAGGCCAGATAAAGAGCTTCACCAATAAAATAAAAAAAAGCTAAAGGAGTTCATCACCACCAAACCAGAATTATATGAATTGCTGAAGGGGGTTCTTTTGTAGAGAAAGTAAAGAAAGATAAAAACTATGAACAATAAATATGTAACTATCAACAAGTGAATCTAAAAACAAAAAACAAAAATTTTTTAATCTGATGAACAATATTAACTGTTGAATATAATAGAATCAGAGGTATGGAAGGGGAGTGAACTGACGATTCTCTGGGAAAAGGGGAGATGGGGATGTGGGAAGAGACTGAACATAAACTGTGCACCGATGGATGAGAACAATTGGGGGGGTGGGGAAAGGGCAGAGGGTGGGGTGGGAACCTGGTGGAGAGGAGCAACGGAGGGGGGGGGGGGGAGAAACATTTGTAATAATATGAACAATAAAGATTTTTTAAAATCAAATATATATATATATATATATATATATATATATATATATATATATATATATATGTATGTATTTATGGAAGGATCTGTACCAGTGACGGTCATTGGGAGCCCAAGCTCCATTCGCTTCATGAGCCCCAATGTGCCAGGGGAATTTGAGACACTGGAGGACCTTCCCCTTTGGAAATGACCTTTACAACATTCTTTTTAAAAAGTATTTTTTATTGATTTTTTACAGAGAGGAAGGGAGAGGGAGAGAGAGTTATAAACATACATGAAACAGAAACTTCAATCAGGCACCTCTTGCACACCCCTTACTGGGGATGTGCCCACAACCAAAGTACATGGCCTTAACTGGAATCGAGCCTGAGACCTTTCAGTCCACAGGCCGAAGCTCTATCCACTGAGCCAAACCGGGTTCTGCTGACCTGTACAAAATTCTTCATCCAGGCCCTTCCAGCTGTGTTCCTCCCAGGTGCTCTCACAGTGATGTTTCCATACATATTTTGGTCTCTGTCGCCCCCTGGAGGCCTAGGCGACCTCCTCGTTACAGCACGTACCCAATAACAATACGAACTGCCGCTGCTAAGAGGGAGGAAGGCGGGGCCGACTTGGGTCTGGTTCGCTCCCCCTTTTAGCCCCAGAAGCTGGCATAGAGGAGGCACTGAACGAGCATCCGTTGCACAGAACGACCGAGATGCAGGCCTGCGGAACTAGAAGGCTTCGGAACTGTCCCCTGAAGCGAGTGTTTCCGGCCGGTGGGCTTTCACGGGAACACCTTCCGTCTTCTTGGGAATCTGAACCCGAGGGCCCAGAAGGCTCGGTCACACCGCTTCCGGAGTCGCTGGGAACAGAGTCTGGGCGGCCGCTCCGCATCCCGCACGGACGGAAAGGCTCCTGCCCCGAGCAGGTGGGATTGGGAGGCAGGAACGAAAAGACAGGCGGGGAATTTGAGGGAGGAGGTGGAAGGCGATGGAGTGAAGGAATGTGTGGCCACATGGGTGCGAGGGGGGTGAGAGACCCCAGCACACCTCGTGGGAGGCTGACGGCTGATGGATGACGATAGCGGTGGCCGTCCTGGGAGCTCGGGGAAGCGGGGAGGTAGAGTCTAGAGTCTGGGCACAGACAAGGCCCCGGGACCCCCCAGCTGCCCGGGGAGATGAGGGGCTGAGGGAGCAGGGGAAGGAGGATGACGTAGGTAAACAGATACAGGGGGTGCAGGCAGGTCCTGTGGCGGCCCCGGGCTCTGGGCCCACCGCTCCCCACCTCCCTTCAGCGGCTCCTCCGGCTTCAGGGTGACCCTGGCTTCCTCCTGGAGAACCAGGGTTTCCCTGCCCGGCCACTACCCCTCCTGCGGGCTCAGCTCCTGCCCTGAGTCAAGGCCAACTCCT